GAAATATACTTATTTAAAAATGAGGTATTTAATCGCAAAATTATTGTTGGTCGGTCATTTTTGCTAGGTGAGTGTACATATCTTTTATAACTCTTAATATATTCAATTTATATGCATTAAAATCTTGAATTAGTAAAAACTTTCCTAAATATCTTAATATATCAAATTTTATATTTAAATATTTATGTATTTAATCAGTGTAGTAAAACCTAAATTATATGAACCATATCGTATATGAAGATCATACTTACTCCATTTTCTTTGCTTCTGAAGTAAATCGATAATTTGATTCTTCATGTAACGATAACTTTGCCAAAATCAAAATTATGACTTATGCTCTTTTTTTTTACTATTTGAGTATGGTGATAGCCATTTCTGTTAATATGAACGATGTATATCCAACTCCGTGTTCACGTTACACGAACGTACCACCCACCTGATGCAAATATAAAAAAAGGTGGATGCTGAGAAATCTCGTATCGAAAAACTTAACTGATCCCCACCACCTTCTCTCAACTACTCAAACTCCTGTAAAGATCCAAAATAAAAATAGAATACTACAAATTATTTAATAAGCTCAATTTTAAATATGTTGCAAAAAGGACAATAATATATCAAAAAGACAAATGGCTAGTAAAATATTTCAAGGTATATGCTATTAAGTCTCCGAGAGGAGCACCTCGGAGACTACACTACTACCGCGCCAATTAGGCGACATTCCAAAACTTCCTATCACATTCATTCCGAATTATCCATTTACCATATTCTCCTCGTGTGGTTTTTTTATTTTTGGTGGTCGTGATCCTATTTACATTAATTAAAGAAACTATTAGATGATGTTCGGACATTCACCCCTTTTTAATATGAATTGTCCGAATCACCATCATCATTCAATTTGATTCGGAAAATTCACGAGTTCGGAAGCTACTCAGAATACCCAGATGAGTGGATATTTTTACTGAAATATTGGTTCGAAACAAGCTGATTTGAAAAAGGTTACGCAATCGATTTCCACGCAGACGAGTATCGATTAAAGACTACTCAAAAATCCGATAGGGTTGGATTTATTTGTTCAAAAAATCACTGTTGAATAAAAACAATTGATCACTTCAAGAACAATACTAGTGCATGGAAATCTTCGTGTTCTGGTGTTGGACATTCTTTAGTATTTTTTACACATAATAATTTATTTTCAGAGACCTTTCAACATGTAAAAATACAAATTATTTTGATGATAATAGTAATAGTAGTAATCAAAAGAAAAAGAAAAGAAAATGGCAAGTAGAAGAGTGCAGTTTGGAAAAGGCTAGCAAAGAAAATAGAGGTGTAGAACTTTGGAATAGGCTAGCAAAGAAAATAGAAGAGCGCACTTTGGAAAAGTCTATCAAAGAAAATAGACGAGCGTATTTTGGAATGAGAACGATCCGCACTCATTCTTTGCCGAATTCCCAAACTTACGAGAATTCAAAACCAACGCATTTAAGGAAATTGTCTTTCGCGGATTATTTCTAGACTCCTGGAAATTTTGCAAAAAAAATTTTTTAAAAGTAGTTTTTATTTATAAATTTATAACCTTGCGAACTTTTTTTAATTATTAATTACAATAAAAAAACACAAAAAAAAAAAAAAATTTCTTTTGTAAATTTTTATAAATGAAGAAATAAATGATATCGTGATACATTTTGTTACAGTTAATATCTGTGATGATTTGCGTCGAATTTTTTTTTAAAAAATTATAGATCAAATATATTAAATCAACCTCTATTTTATTTTCACAAATCCTTTCATTCTTGCTATTCTTAAAAACACCTTCGTTTTCTTCTTTCGTTACACTAAACATTTGCATCTACATCACCTATCCATCCATCACTCCAATACTTTCTGCTTCCTAGCTGATAAAGTTACATATTTTCAACAATTACCCGTCCTTTTCATGTTGTAATAACTATTTGATACATCAATATACTGGAGAATCTTTTGAATAATATATAAGTTTTGTAGTTGCGTGTATCTAGGATTTGGCGTGGGATTGAGTTAGGTTAGGAAGGGTCACCCCTTACGCTAAGGAATATTAAAATAAAAATATTACCCTTTGAAAATTACATCAAATCATAGAATTAATCGTGTGATAAGGGTGAATTTGGTGTTAGATTTAGTGTTAATCTCGTATGAATTGAATGGTGAAAGGGTTTACACCCGGGAACTCTGGTCAAGATTCCGAAAGAAGTGAAGGGAGTTGGTGTCGTCCATAAGGGATATGTAGAAAAAGATCTGAAGTGGCTCATTTTTTAAAATTATTTTTCATCCTCATCAACCGATATCGATAAAGTACCTCATAATAACTGTGTTCTCATACTAATCATAAATTTTGATAAAAGTTTCATTTTAATCAATTGAATAAAATATTAAACAAACCCTCTCCAGAAAATTGTTTTCCATTTTATTTTTATATCGATCATTGAAACTAGCACTACGTAAATGCCAATGTTCCAAACTAACAAATCCATATACAATATATATCTACGGTAAAATTTATTTTTAACCTCTATGAAATTATTGATAGCTTTTGTCTGAACAAACGGAAATGGATCACTCGAGTCCCAAACTGGGAATGAATAAAATATTTGTTCATCGTAATTGGTCAACGCGAACGTGACGCGCTAATCTTTTTAATAAGCACTTTTGCAAGACTGCGCCCAAAATCTTTGTAGACCACCAATTCAGTTTCGAAATAAGAGACTGATTTTCCTAGCATCTTCACCAAAATTACACGACAGTCAAGACAATGGATTTCTCCCTTTATAATGAAAGTTAAGCTATCTTATTATAGAAGATTTTAAGCAAAAAGGTTCAAACTCTAAATCTTATTTTTTTTTCGCGTTTTACGATCAAAATAACTAGATTTTACGTCACATTACTGATCCATGATAAGTTGCGACATTATTCAAACAATGACTGATGAAAGAGGATAAGCATTTGTAGTAAGTTGAAAGAGCACAAATAGATCCTTTTAGAGCAAAACAAAAATAAATAAATCGATCATCGCCTAAAGGCATCATAATTTATTGATTATAAAATTTCTTAAATCCTTGGAGAATTTGTTATTTTCTTTATTGGTTCAACTGTTCAACTGCTTTAGAATAATTCCGAAATTTCAATAAGAATGTCAGTCTGTATCAATATCATATTAATTAATCCTCCTTTATGCTACTCATAAAATGATTATATAAACATTATATCATAAGTAAAATAATTTTAACCATTTCTAATGCTCATTGCATATTGCGAAGATGATGAAAGGATCAAATTTTTTTTGTTTTTATACTAATATTTTATTTCTTGTCAGCATTGATTCTTCCATTTTTGATCACGGGTCGACTTTTGGAAAAGACAATTTTACGATTTTCTTGTGGTTACGATTATGAAACCTTAACATTATCATAGAAGACATAAATAATTTTTTTTTTCATGACCAAATCCTAATTCTTAAGAGGGTTCGAAACAAAATGATCGGGTTAACTTTGAAATTAATATTCGACATGATAAGTTGATTATGAGAACAACAATTTGATTTTACATAAGAGCATTTATTTAACAAATAAATGGAAACTATGAAAAAGTACTTGCTTAAATTCAAAGGTATTTAATAACGAATTATTCAACGGTGGATCTATAAAAATAAAGAAAAAAGTATACTCGATGATTCGAATTTTTCTTGAGGAAGTTTGGAGAAAAACAGAGGTTTAAATTCAAAATAAATTTGGAAGGGTATTGTGACTTTTTTCTTTCGTAGAGTAGGGAATAGTTCTCGCACAATTTATGAAATCATGCCCAAATTGGCGTGAGTTGGTGCATCAAAGATAGGTTTTAATCGGGAACGTACGTGATTTTGCTACAAGCATTCTGAAAATGTAGGCTTTCAATCTCGTTGGCTTAACTGATGATAAACGAAGCTACTTATGTGTGATAATTGCAGACTGCGCAGAGTTTTACTAATTGTTTTGATGATTTTTTAAACATTTTTAGAATAAAATGAATCGATATGTTGTGAAATGACTTTTCGAAAATGTATTTAATAGTTTAAAGGACCTTGTCTGTAACATAATTTCGACAATTAAATAAAGCAAGATCTTGTTTATAGCGGACGCTTGTTGTTAAATGAGTTCATAATATCGCATCCATAGAAAGTTAAATTAGAAGTCATATATAACCTACACGTGACTTCTCATAATTGACTACTCACGTTTTTACTTGTAAAATAAATTTATGGTCGGGAAAATCGAGAGACGTTTTAAAAATAAACAGTGAAGAATGCATTCATAATAAAATCAACCCATCACGGTTCTACGGTACCAAAAGCGTATCTTAATAACTGTGGAATTGATTTTAATTTATACTGGGCCACGATTCAAAGAAAATAATAGTCTTTTATCTGACCAACTCGAAATATAAACAATTGCATATCAAGTTTTAAAAGAAAAACATTTTAATAAATATTTTTAAATAAAATTATTAAACAAAAGGCGTATCGCATGAGTCAATGTCCCTTAAATTAATTTTAGTCTTGATTCTGTTGAGAGAATCCAAATACAATTAACAACCAGCCTCAGCCGCACGAAATTCCTTCGCGACATCTGTCAAGTTCTTCAGTGCTGCTTCGACTTCTTTCCATCCACGTGTCTTCAAGCCACAATCAGGGTTTACCCACAAAAGATTCTTAGGAATATATTTGAGGATTTCTTTCAGACGAGTCTTCAATTCTTCCGTTGAAGGTACACGAGGAGAGTGAATATCATAGAGACCTGGACCAATCTCGTTTGTGTATTCGCGCTTTTCAAACGCATTCAAGAGCTTCAAGTCGGATCTTGAATTTTCAATTGTAATTACATCGGCATCCAACCGTTGAATCGCTTCGATAATGTCGTTAAAGTCGGAATAGCACATGTGGGTATGAATTTGAGTGGAACAATCGACACCACAACTAGAAAGAAGGAAAGCGTCAACTGCCCATTGGAGATACTCATTCCAGTCTTCTTTACGGATAGGTAAACCTTCACGGATAGCAGGCTCATCAATCTAAGTAATAACAAAATATAAGAGCAATTAAATTTAACATTGACACCCGAAAGTTTTGCACAGATTCGTTCACATTGCATGTAATTTGCCGATCACTTTCACGGGAAATTGATATTTTTGTGTACCTGAATCACAGAAATTCCAGCAGCTTCGAGATCCTGTACTTCTTGGAGAATGGCAAGAGCCAATTGGTATGTAGTGTCCTTTCGGGGTTGATCATCACGAACGAATGACCATTGGAGCATGGTGACTGGACCCGTTAACATGCCCTTCACAAGTTTTTTGGTCAGGGATTGAGCGTATTTAATAACTTCTACAGTCATGGGTTTTGGCCTAGAAACATCCCCAAAGATAATGGGTGGCTTTGTGCAACGTGATCCGTAAGATTGAACCCATCCGTTTTCACTGTGAACGTATCCTATTTTAGAAAACTCAATAAATCAATTGATTGTATTGTACAATAACAAAGATTTAATCAAAACTGGTAATTTAAATACCTACCCTGCAGGTTTTCACCAAAGAATTCCACCATATCATTACGTTCGAATTCTCCATGTACAAGTACATCCATGTCAATTCCTTCTTGGAAGCGAATACATTTTTCGATTTCTTTATTCATGAACTCGTCATATTGTGCTAAAGTTACATCACCTTTCTTGAGCTTAGCGCGAATAGAACGGACTTCTTTTGTTTGGGGAAAAGATCCAACAGTGGTCGTTGGGAAGAGCGGAAGTCCCAACTTTTGTTTCTGTTTTTGTTGTCTTTCACGGAAAGGAGACTTACGCTTGAACATATCGGGTGTGAGAGACTTCATTTTCTCTTGCACAATTGGATCATGGATGCGGGATGATGTTCGACGGCTTTGAATTCTAAATACGACATAATCATATTTAACAACCGTTGATTGCGAGTCACGGGACATAAATATCACGTGAATTTGAGTGACATTAGAAGGAAATAAAAAGTGCTTACGATTTGCGATTAACATCAAGCTCTGCCTGAACCGAATCGACACCGCAATTCAATGCTTTAGAGATAATTACCAACTCATGGATCTTTTCAACAGCAAACGATAACCAACCCAACATTTCAGAATCCATCTTCTTTTCGTTTTGAACAGAATGAGGTGTGTGCAAAAGAGAACAGGATGGAGCAATGAAAACACGCTCAGAACCAAGAGCGGTGACGGCTTTCTGAGCTTCAGCTAAAGCATCATCTAAATTGGCCGTCCAAATGTTACGTCCATTGATCAAACCAAGGGACAGGGAAACGGTTGAAGGCAGACGTTTCAAAATTGGTTCCAATTGGCCAGGGGAACGAACCAAATCAATGTGAATAGCATTTATAGGAGTATCAATAATGAAATCAATGTTGGTACCAATGCGCTCAAAATATGTTGCAATCAATATTTTCAGCTTAGGAGACACCTTTGTGAGCGCATTATAGGCAGAAGTATATTCATCTTTGAGGGTGGGAGGAAGATCACGAATTAAGCATGGTTCATCGATTTGAATCCATGTAGCTCCAGCCTCAGCCAATTTACATAATATTTCCTCATATAAAGGAAGAAGCTTGCTCAGTAACTGAATTGGTTCAAACTCTTGAGGAGAACCTCTCGCAGGCTTTCCGAGGAGAAGATAGGAGACCGGACCTAGGATGACGGGACGAGTTTGAATACCAACGGCTTTAGCCTCATTGTATTCGGTAATAATTTTGGTCGCATTGAGATTGAATTGTTGGTTTGAATCAAATTCAGGGACGATGTAATGATCTGCGGTAAAATATTAAACAATGATTAAATAGTCAATGAAAAAATTTGATTAGCAAAAAATTTTTGATACTCACAGTTGGTATCGAACCACTTCTTCATTTCACAAGCTTCAACATCAACTCCCGATTTTTGAAGACCTCTACACATAGCGAAATAGGTTTCAAGACCTGGTTTAAGGTTCTTATAACGTGCAGGAATGACACCAAAAGCATAGGAATGGTCGACCACTTGGTCATAAAAAGAAAAGTCATTAGAAGGAATGTGATCGAGACCAGCATTCTTTTGGAGAGACCAATGCTCCTCACGATGTTTCTACATATTCAGCAAAAATAATAATATCAGAACGAGGTGACGATATGAATCATGGAAAACACGCCAAAAGCATACCTTTGCACCACTAAGAAGGGCATTTTCGTCAATTTTTCCAGCCCAAAAATTTTCAACAAGACGTTTCAATTCACGTTTAGCGCCCATACGAGGGAAACCTAAATTCGTGGCGATAACCATTTTTGTTGAATGTAAACGATTTGATAGATCACAGAGAGGAGGTGAGGAGAAAAAAAAAAAAAATTTTTTTTTCAATGAAAAAAAATTTTTTTGGCGAAAAAAGAGATTATAAGCCAATCCGAGTTTGTAACTTCCGATGGTTACGTTTAATTTAATTTTACTGATGATCTGATGATTATCCAGATAAAAAAGTTTGCATTTTTTAATTTGTGTAATCAACTTACAGTTAATGTTTTTGACCAATATACTGACAGTTATTATATAGTATAGTATGGTTTTTTTTCATATATGTATAATATTAGAAATCATACAAGTATGGACTATTTGTTATACATGTTTAGTTATACATTCAGACATTCAGAAAAAAAACTGTACAATACATACATTGTGTAATACCCTTATATCGACGACTTTCGTTACGCGGGAAGTTTTTTATGGGGGACGACGACATTTTGAATTTTCTAATCCTCAATAGTTTTATAATTTGAATTTTCAACTATGAAATTTAGCATATAACGATAATTTTTGGATCGTGGGATTAATGTGATTTTTTTGGTTTTATCAATAGATTGGAACTCAAAGATTCTTCATTGTGCAACTCTGACCTATAAAAATTTGACGCATCATTTATGTCAATTTTTTGTGTATTTAATAACATATGATATTTGGGAAACAAAGTGTAAGTGACAATTCTAAACATTTAAAAGGGAATGATTCCCAATTAATACTCGATTTCTTTTAATATTTTGAAATTGTAACCATCACCATCACAAATTTTCAGTGTATGGTATCATTGTTCTTTTGTTAATTTGGCTAAGATTAACTCTGATCAACTTTATCATTTTTATCCTTATTGGTTCATACCAAAACCCGATCTTTAAATCTTAATTTGATTTGCACAAAAAGCCCAAACTTGGCCTCATATAAAACCTGTTCAAAATGAATTTAGATTCATCATTATGACAATAATGAATAAATTTGTAAAATCAAACTTAAAGTAATTAATTTCAAAAGGAAGAAAAAATCCAAGAAAAATAATTCTAAAGATTCAGTTGAAACGAATGAATGTAATGAAATAATTGAATTAACCAAAGAAGAATTAATTAAATTGTATGGTAGATGTAATAGATGTTATCAACCATTTGAATCCGAAAAGAAATGGTGTAATGACTGTCATACCAAATTATTCTTGGAAGAAAGTAAAATTATCAGATATAAGAAAAGGTTGGATAAATTATCAGATGAAGAAAGGAATAGATTTAAACATGATGGGATATGTCCCAATTGTAAGCGAATGAATACTGGAAAAGCTTGGTGCAACAAGTGTGATCCCGGTAAATTTTTAAAGGAAGGAAAAACGAGTGGGAACCCCAAGATGGATCAATTGATTTATAAATCACAACTTCAAACCGAACATTATTATTATAATTTGGATTGGGTACCTTATAACAGATTTCAAGATATTAAATTGATAGGAGAAGGCGGGTTTTCCAAAATATACTCTGCCACGTGGCTTGACGGCGTTCCAAAATTTGATAGATTGAAACGACGTTCCGAACCTAAAGTAGTTATACTAAAACAAATCAAGGATTCCAACAACCTGACAAACATATTTATTAATGAGGTAAAGATACATCATCACTGTAAGATATCATCTTTTTCGGATTTAATCCCGAAAACATCAGAATATATGATGATTTTAGAATACGCGGGTGAGGGAAATTTAAGAGATTATCTTCGAACAAATTATTCCAATTTAAAATGGAAAGGAAAATTGAGTATTCTAAGGAAGATTGCACAAAACCTTTCCAAGATACATGAATTAAAATATGTACACAGGGATTTACATAGTGGAAATATCCTTCAAATTAAATATATAAATGATTTTACAAAAATAACGGATCTAGGACTTGCCCAATCTATAAAGAATTCAAAATTTGATGGTTGCTCGAACGTTTGCGGGGTGCTTCCTTATATAGCACCTGAAATATATAATGGGAATCCGTACACCTTTGCAAGTGATATTTATAGTTTGGGTATTATTATGATAGAAATATCAATAGGAAAACCACCTTACGGAAATGTACCACATAACAAAGACCTTGTATTAGCAATCTGTAATGGTTTGCGACCGAGGGTTGCCATTGGAACACCAAAATGTTATATTGATTTAGTAAATAAGTGTCTTGATGTTGATTCCAATCAAAGACCATCTATTACGGAATTGCATGAGATCGTTGATGAATGGGATGCTTTATTAAATTCCAGATTACATACATATAAATATAAATCAGAAATTGGCAGAGATTTTTTTAATGCTGATATGTTTCATCTTCCAGAGTCGTCTTCTAATGCTTCGTTACATTCTGAAGCAATTTATACCAGCCGCCAATTTAGTTTTTTCAATCTTCCCAAGCCAAGAAATTCTTCAGGAGTTCAAATTGAAATTCCAGAAGGTAATAAATAATTGTATTTTTATTTTATTTTGTTTTACCTAAATCACATTTGTTTAATTTAATATAGTTTCGGATCCTGATTTAATTGAACAACACATTGCTAATTACTTGCAAAATTTTGATCAAAGTATTTATTTATTTTCGTCGTTTGTTAACAATACGTTTGAATTGCTGATGAATTACTTATAATTTCTTTGGATTTAACAGGAGAGTAATGATATTATTACATTATGATCATGTTATTTGTTTTTTTGAAAACGTGTTCTGATTAACTTAACTCGGGCCAGCATAATACATTTCTTAATCACTAAAAAGAATAGCAATATATTATAAAATCATCTTTCTCTATAATTTTTATACAATCAGCAATATGTAAATTTGAAATGTCTTTTTCGATAGTAGTCGTCGTTCAGATAATTCATACTTTATTATTCATTTTTATTATTTTTGTAAAAAGTTTACTTCTATTTCGCTAATATTTTACTTAACACATTTATTATAACCTTGCTATTCTTAAAAGTTATCATACTGTATATTGTTAATTTATATTTTTATTATAATCCTAGAATTATATACTATTATCATTGCGATTTTCATCATAAATATCTAAAATTCAAAAATACCATTATCATCATTATTCTCGAATTTTAATTCATCAATTCATTTATCTAAATTATCTAGTGAATTTATTTCCTACATTTTACAAAGAATTAAATAAGATATAATTATTTTTATATATTAATTTTAAAATTTAATCAGAAATGTTTTAAAATTTAATAATTTAATCAATATCTTTTCAATTTATATAAAAAATTACTATTAAATTTTGTTCACTAAAAGGATTTCAAAAAGTTATTTTTGTAAATATCAAAAGTTAAAAAAATATATAATTATTACTTTACTTTTACCCTTTTTACCATTATTTATATTTTTATTATATATAATAATAATTATGAAATTTCTCAAAAATCTTAGAAATATACTCTTAGATCAAAATGAATGATATACTAATGACTCCTAGAACAGAAATTAAATGTTTTAGTTTTACTTCAAATTAACAAAACAGTTTACGTAAATGCTTCATTGAAAATTTAAAAAAAATAAATATTATTGTATCTTTCCTTTCTGACTATATAATAGATGATATATACAGGATTACTTGAAGACTCTAATATTTATATCTGATATATTTCATTATTGTGTATGCTTTTATAATACTGAATATTTACTTATTTTTGTGTTTTTCTTTTCTATTTCTTATTATCAAACCCACTCAAAAAATACATTATATTATCGTAGAGCAACTTATTATCACAGATAAATGAGTTATAATAAATTAGTTAATATAATTAAATGTAGTAATGACTTACTCTTTTCATTCTTCTAATAACTATTTATCAATCTACTTTTATAAAGAATCTTGCATACAGCATTGGACAAATAATATGTATATTATTGCAAAAATATTATGATTTCTAAACGCATATTATAGAAATTACTTTAAAGTTTATCAAGTAGATCTGTTAATATGAATTAGAGGCCTACAACAGGCTGGATATAGTGCAAGAATCTAGCCTGAATCTGAGTTCTGAGCCAGATACAGGCTAGCAAATATAAGTTTAGAATTTTCTAAACTGAGTCTGAATTCAAGATACCAGCCTAGATTTTTTTATAATTTTAGCAAAAATCATTATTTACAGCTAATTTTAAAAGTTGCAGATTTTTCAAAAATATTAGGAATGGCAGTACTAATCAAATGATTAGAAATATCTTAGCATTAATCAAATTTATAAAATATATTCACTTTTTTACTCACGTTATTTAACTTTAACAATAAGTATTTCATTAAACTTCTATTTAAATGCAAATCCAATTTGTCTTAATAGTTTACTATGTGAAAATACTTATTGTAAAGATTGTTTATATTTACTTAAAGAATTTTTAAAATACATAAAGTCCTTATAAAAAAAATATTTATGACAATTTTTATGCTAATATTATAATTTGATTGACATTAAAAAATTTCTAATCATTTGATTGATATTGACATTTTTGATATTTTAAAAAATTGACAGTGCTGATAATTAAAATTTACATGTTTTATAACTTTTAAAATTAGCTGTAATTAAAATTTAAGCATCACTGATTATATAATAAAATTTTATATTGTTGTTAATCAATTTCATGTTGTTTATAAATAGGTTGTATCATTTTGATACTACATAGTGCTCTTCATTAATTATTTTGTTAGTTTATTTTAATAATAATTTATTAAAAAATTGTAAAAAAAAATACATATTGTTTTTTTTTATAATTTATTATATAAAAATAAAATGATTAAATTATTAAATTTCATATTACCAATAATTATAATTAAGTTTGATCAGATCAGGTTAGCATTTTAATACACAAATTTAATCTAGGTTAGATCAGACTAGCATTTTAATTCTTGGCTTAAAATTTGGGATAGACTGAGCTTCAAAATTTAAACTTATGCAAGTCTCTAATATGAATATATCAATCCTTTCAGAAATAGTACAAAATTGTAAAAAAAACTCAGGAATTATGAAAAAAAACTTAGATATACTGATTCACATTAAAAAACATGAAAATTGAGAACCTAAGTTTTTAAGTAAGACTGTTAATATGCAAAGCCTCTCACTTTCATCTTCTATCTTTTATCACTAATTCTATATTTTGCACAACTAAAATTTATAAAAGTATTATATTTAATGAGATTCAATTTGATTATTTTCTCACTAAGACTAATTCTTACTTTAGAATTCTTTTTAGTTTTATAGTTACATATTTATTAAATAATCTAATAATTCAAATAATAATAGAAAAATAAGTTTAAAAATAGTTTAATAATATAATAACTTACTTGAACTCAAATTAAAAGAATAATATAATTTTTAAGAAAATAAATGATACACTATATCTTAATAGATACAAGCTAGATCTCTATATATTTGATATTAATAACATATCAAATGATACTTTTAATATCATAATTATTTAAACAATGCTAAAGTTAAAGAAGCACATTAAACTTTCTAATAAAGAAAAAGGACAACTGGTGAATTATTTTCATATTCTTATTAGACAACAACTATTATATAGATTATTTACTATATCTTTATCAGATAAGATGTACTTTTATATTATAGTTTATGATAGGAATACTTGTTAGTATCAAGAATATCAAACTGATTTTAAGAAAGAATTATGTTTATTTAATACATTGATATATCAAAATTCAGACTATGTAAAATATGTTGATCTACAAGTGTCAACTTTATTACTTCAGTCTCTTTAAGTCACACAAAAGCTATCAAAATATATTTAGAGAAGTTTCTAAAAGAGAGCTCATTTATGAAAGTATATAAAATCAATTAGAATGATAGTTCAGCTGCTATAAAGATATTTTCTGATAATAATTTGAAGAATAAAATAGAAATTCTGAAAGAATTGAATTAAAATAAAATTGCAAATATTCTAATATTTATTATAAATAATAATAATTACCTGATTATTCATTGAATTTATAGATATTTTAGTAACAATTATATTAACAATTTTTAGATTCAACATTCTAAAGATTTTATAAAATTCTTAAATCGTATTCATTTAAATAATCTTTATTATCAAGATATTTATTCTTCAAATATTATATTAAATACTAAAAGTAATTCTCTAATATTTGTTAATTAGGAGTCAGCAATTTTTACTTTAATAATAAAATAGTTTCTTACAAAGGAATAACTACATATACTTCCCTTTTATTTTGAATAATAAAATAAGAGATTATATTTTAAAATCAACAGATGATTTATATTTTTTTGTGTACATAATCTACTAAAAAAGCCTGATCTAATATTATTAAGTACACAGACTATCAAAAATTATTGAAATAGTAAATTAAATGATTATGCATTATAAAGAAAGATGTTAAATGCAACAAATAATAATCAGATTGATTTATTAGAAAAATTATATGATATTTTTAAAAATTAATTTATAGTATAGGTTTTTTTGCGATTTTATTTTTTATCATTGTAATAATATACTTCTTTTGTATATTTACAATTTTTATCATTTATTTAAATTTGCTATACAACTTTATATTATACTACTATTAAAAAATGTATTTTTTTAAAAATAATCATATCAATAAAATTTCACTTATATTTGAATTATTTAATATATATAATAAATTTAATATTTATATTTTTAACTTGTATATATACAAATGTAGGTAACAAATTGTCATAGGCACATGACTAAAATCACTCAATAAAAATATATTATTTTGCTATTTTCAATTATTCTGACAAAAAATTACCAATAGAGATAAGTATATCAGATACTAAAATGAATAGTTAATTATATAAATCAAAATTATATATGGTAACATATAAAATTTATTATTAAATATTTTTCACAATATTGATTTTATTATATTTTTCTAATACAATTGTATTAATCCTATTATATTTCATAATGTAAGTTTATAAATATTATAACTATAAATAATAATAACTCACTATTTTATTTATTATCTATAATACAATTAAAAAGTTTGATATAACATCTTCTCCAAATTATAATAATTGCTTAATCTTAAAGTGAAATTTTTTTTGCTCTTTTCTTTGAATACGAATTTCTTCAAGATTCAAGATTAAATTCTCCTTTATAATCTTACTTAAAGCTAATCAAAATTTTGATTATTTAGAGAATAATAATATATTTACATAAGTTTTCAAATTTAATTTATTAAAAAGTCTCTCAACTTATTATTAATGAATAATAATAAAACAGATATATATTTTAATAAAATTATAAAGCTGAAAAAATTCATATAATATAGGACTATTAACCTTATAAAATTCTTTAAATTTATCATTAAATTCTTTATTATTTAATAATAATTCTTGTAAACTAAAAGTATTATTATTTTTATAATTAATGATATTTTTTAAATTTTTTGATAATCTTAATTTTATATCTATAAGAATCTTATTTCAATCTCTTTTTAAGATTGTAAAATGAAAACTATTAGCAAATAAATATGTAGTGTCTTCACCTAATAATAAATTGCTAAAATAAAGCTATAGATTAAATATTTTTCAAAATATTTATAGGTTTTTATTAATCTTATTTTCTAAATTATTAAATAATTCTTTAAATTTATCATTTGATAATATTTCAATAACTTCTAATAATTCATCAATAAAGAAATATTTCTATATTATTTTTGAAGTTCTCAAGTAAAGCTTTCTATTCAAAAACTTTTTCTGATATTTTATATACTTATCTTTCAAAAGATAATTAAACTAATTTTTCATCTTATATTATATATAAATTAGAATTCTTTTTCACAATTAATTATATTAATAATTCATAAAATATTTTGCAAAATTTACTAAGCATTTTATTTAAATATTAATTAGTGAATTAAATAATTATAACTTAAAAAAACACTAATCATTAAATATATTTTTAGTGTATTATGATTTTTTTCTAATTGAATTATAAATTAATAAACAAATAAAATATGAACTTTATAGTAATTTAAATATTGCTAGGCTATTTATATTTCATAATTCTAATGGAAATAGAATAGTAGCTAATACTAATTATAATAAAATCTTATTAATTTATTATATAAATTTTTAATTATTAAAGTATTAATATTTAAAGATTTATCTTTATTACTAAAATTGTAATTATTTTATAGATATAGTTTTAGAAAGAAACTAGTAAAATTTTGCTAAATACTTCTTTTGTATAATATGAAGTTCACAACTAATTCAAAAAGCATTTATATCAATTTTTTTATTAAAAAAAATAGGCTCATTTTTATCACTTAATATATATGTTATGTTATTAGCAATTTATAATATATATTTAGTAATATTAAGTCTATCTTCTTAAATTGACTAAATAATTATATTAAAACTATTTCACTATTACATCTTAAAATATTTTTAAGACTTGATATAATAACAATTGATGTTTATTCTTTTTTATCCTATACTTATTAGTAAAAAATAAAGTTTTTAATTTTTTCACAAATGGATTCATCCATTATAATTTCAAAAATTGGTTTATTTGTAATTAGAGAAATATAATTATTAATATATAATTAAAAAATATCTTTATGTCATATATGTAATGTTGAGATTAATAAACAATTTTATGAAAATTCTTCAATTAAAAATTTATAAATTAATTTAATATGCTCAACTGTAAAGTATATTAATATTTCTTTTACTTATATAATACTAGTTATAAGTTAAACTATATTATAGAAATATTTTTATTTATTTATCATAAAAAGCAATTTGATCTTTTTTTAAATGTAATCTTTGTTATTATTGAAGATTTTTGAACTAAAGTATAAATTTTAAAATGTAATGTGATTTTTTATTATACAAATATCTTATTTAAGCTTCAAGTAATTTTGTTCTTTCAATTAACTTATTGTTTTGATAATACAGTCAACACTTAATATAGTGAATTCTTGATATAATAAATTTTTTGAATAAATATAATAAAAATACTCTTGTTATAGCGAATTAGCTAATCAAATCTCTTAAAATCTT